GAGGAAATGTGTGAGATACAGATTAACCCAGTCCATCTGGTGATGGACGTCTCGTTGCATAATCCTCACTGTGAGAAGGGTAGGGAGGTTGGAGAGGTGCTGTCATGCTGCAAAGTCGAAGTATGGACAACGCAGTCACGGGCTTCTTGCATGAATGGACGGTGTCAGACAAATGGGACGGTTCATTTGCTGTGTGTGCTCCAGAGGTTCGGATGGATAAGCTCTTTAGAACAGGACAGCAGCAGGTCGCAATAAATCTCATATCGGAGGCATGTCAACGACTGATGAAGTACAACAACGGAGAGTAGGACCAGGAAGAGGCGCAAGTGTTTCATATCACTCGGGAGATTCCAATTAGGCGAAAGCAGTCTCGGGAATAGGCACGTCTCGACGGGGGGACCGTCGGAGATACATGTCCAAGTCGTTATCCATAACTTATATAATGAGCGCACACGGGCGGCATGACGCAAAAATTGACGGGTCTCCGTAGTTCGACGTGTCCTGACCAGAGTTGGTGCTGCACCTAGATCTAGGTGAGCTGCTGCACGAAAAGGGATGAACAAGCTTCTACCGACCGGTGCGTTCTGACTATATACCAGTGGATGAAAGTGCTGCAAGGGATTTCCAGGACGGCAGTTTCCTAAATGATGAGCTCAAGATTGGATTCACAGGAGTGAATATCTCCAGTAGGACTTCCAAGACAAACAGGGCCCGGTGCATCTGATATACTAATTCCAAGGCGCGATTCGGAACTTCAAATTCGCAACACTGCCGCCGCGAGGAGAGTCAGAGTTGGGAGCGATCAACACAAACAACCTCTATTCTTAATTTTTCTTGGCTGCATTTCTGAGTGAAGGCTTGAGCTGTAGAATGGCACAGGCGCGAAGGTTTCCTCCAGTTTCCATTAGACAGATAATAGACAAATGAAGTTAGTCATGCCGATGTGTCAAATATCGTTCCTCTTTGTCGCCGTTTAGTCTGTTGACTTTAAGGTGATCCTTGAATATCTGCACGATTCTGCAAATGGAGACAATGGTCGTCTTTCTGGTGTCTATACCGACCATTAGAACCGCACCATTATCTCCTGGCCCAACATACCCTTTACATACATGCAGTATTCCTGAGTCCTCTCGTTTCTCTTCACTAGACAATGCGCGAGACCATGAATATGATGATCAATATCAAATAAAAGCGTACAGGACAAGCTCCTAGCAGGGATCAACATTCACCACATCTTCCCCCCATCAAAGCCACCCCCAGCGCCAATATTAGTCGCAGAGGTCTTCGCATCTAAGAACAGCTCATTCATTTCTCCGATATCCTCTACGTCTATCTGGCTTCTTCCAGCAAGGCCGGCGAGGATGGAAGCTGGAGTGAGAAGTTGGAGTGCATACCTGCAAAGGCAGTCATGTAAAGCAGTTCGCTGTTAATTGAGATGTATCATACCGCATGGATCCTCGTTCACCCTCTTCTGCTATTCGTTCCAAAACCCCGGGACCCAGTTTGAGGCCTTCGATGTTTGAACGCAACTGTACTACCTTGCCGATCTGCTCGCGATTATATCCATCCGTCTTTACAATAAGACACCTTGACAAGAGGTGTCAGCCGATATCTTGACTCATGAGAGACATGCAGACTCACCGATCTAACAGATCTACGGGTACACCATGAGGTGAGACAATATCGGTTGTGCCTCGCACCAGCGCGTTTCCACGATTGGTAGCAAGTATTACAGTAGGTGCCATGGGTGATTCAAGGAGGGCGTTTAGATACGTAAAGCATTCGATATCTAGCATGTGCACCTAAGGAAGACGTTGCAAAGTTAGCCTCGTCCTTACAGATGCTGTGAAGACAGTATACCTCATCGATGAAGACCACGCCTGGAACAACCTCGGCAACGCCTTGATCCACGTAGCCTTTCACAACCTTGTTGACTTCCCTTCGAAGTTTGTCCGTCACCTCCGTCCTGCCGCTCTTCACAAGGCTACCCATAACGCTCATGATGTCTTGCCCTCCTTGCGGGCGCGCATTGGCGGCGTCAAGGTCGCCGAGGGTGACATCTTGGACAAGTTCTTTGCGCTTGTGAACGTCGCCTTTTGGTAATGGTACATATGTCTCGGATTCGAGGTCGTAGGAGGAGGCATACGCATCGGAGCGTCCAACTCTCTGCGTCAAAGTTAGCATACGCCCAAATAAAACAGTTCTAACACACCTTGACTGCACCAGTGTTGGCTTCCACATATATAACATCCCCGACCACGATTTTTTCTTTGAGGATTGCTTCGTAGATGGTGGGATCCAGTCTTAGTTGTTTTGTACCTTTAACAGTTTTAAGACCAACGATCACATGCGAGACTGTCTTTCCATATCCGCTCAACGGATTCTCAGATTCTGCAGGCGTAAGTTCGGTAACCTCTCCTTCGTAAACCTCCTTGGTTTCTTTTATCCGCAGGCCTGTCGGAAACGGATGCATTAAGTATGGATTCATGGATTCGAGCAAAGACACAGTTAAGTCAAGCCATCTGAACCACAAACAGGCCAACATTCGCGAGAAACCTGATGGAAGACTCCAGAGATATAAGATATACTCACCGATTGCCCTCCTGAAAGCTTCTGCAAGTACCTCCGTCTTCTTCACCTCTGTACTGTACACCTCAGAGCCAACCATTGGGCAAAATGGTACCTTGGCACCCAACTCGTGCGACACTGCTAACGCAAGGGCTGTTTTGCCTGTTCCCGGCGCGCCTACAAGAAGTAACGCGCGTCCCGAAAATTTGCGGGATTTTACGAGGTCCACCACAACACCGCATGCCTACGAGCTCCGTTAATGTCAAGAAAAGGAGCAAAAGGTTATCACAACCTCCCGAGCATTCGTTTGGCCTATGAATCCTGCACCATCAGGCGCTGCAAGGCCATCTGATGTGAGCCCAAGTCCTTTTATGTGTGAGTGGGGAGCGATTCTGGAAGAACGAGCATTGGATGTAGCGGATGGTGGGGGTAGCGCATTGTGAGCTACAGGTGCTGATGTAGATGGTGTTGCGCTGGTTGCTTTCATGATGGCTTTTTCGTGAAGCGCGTTGTAGCGCGACAAACGTGACTGTCACGACATTATGTCAGCAGGAGGTTGTTTATTTCTAAAGCCGTTGCCAAATAAGACCGGCGCTGAGTTGGCGCTGAGTTCCAGTACCATGACATGCTCATTCATCGAACCTTCAGTTTTATGTCAAGACTTCTAGTGGCATTTGTTATTATACAAGAAATTCTCTGAGATACAGCGAAGCCGGTGTTGGAGCTCGTTTGTCGCCAAGAAAAAGTCCTTAACACAAGCAGAGTATTCAGAGGTTAGAACACTGACCATGATCTTTCGTTACTAGGATCTTTGACTAGTTCGAATATTGGTTTTGGGTCGTGGGGGCCAAGGCGGCATAATCACCCGGTGAGATAAGTTATCACGTAGGTGTACGAAGTCGCTTTCCTATATTACCAGTCCGCAAATCCAACAAGCTTCCCATCCCATGTCCACCAAATCATCTCATCTTCTTCTGGAACTTCTCCGCTTTCGTTTTTTATTGCATGTTCAGTCACCCGCTTCCGGCCTCGAATCCACACTCCTTCCACCTTCCCTCCTTTCTTTTTCTTCTTGACGTCATCTTGTGATGAATGCTTGCCAGATGCCTCAAGAAACTCATCTAGCAGCGCATCAAAGGCACCACTGAGGGTTTGTTTGGGCACCCAAGCCGGGTGAATGAATCTTCGTGGAGCACGCAGGACTATGTGGGTTTGAGTGGGAGCTATCCATCCGGAACGTCAGGATATAAAAAAAGAGAAAAATTGAGTCTGAAAAGTTGATACTTACGGATTTCGCTGGCCATGCCCTGCCCATCGTTTTCTCCGCACGCGCTTGCGAGCGTGCGGGAGAGCAAGCGCTCGGCAGTACGGAGGGCTTCAAGTTCTTGGGCATAGCTTTGAGACGGCGGTTGAGGTGGAGAAGGCGTTGAAGAGAAAGAGGGCGAAGGTGTCCTAGAAGGTGGTGGAGAGGGCGCCTGAGAAGATTCATCCGACTCCGACTCTGATACGGTTTCTTCATCATCTGAGCCAGTACTATTACCGCCGTCAGCGCATTCATTTGAATCAGCATCGCTGTCACTATCATAATCTGAGTTGGACTCATCCCCGCTATCCCTTGTCACTTCATCATCGTCTGTTCCTTGTCGACGTTCAGGCAGGATGCCCGAGTGATCTTCTCGTTCTCCCCAAACCTTTGCTTCCAAAGCATCTACGCCTACCATTACTCTAGATCTGGCGGAACCTGGTGTGGGACCGAGGACGACTGCAAGGTAGGCACAACCAGAGACTCTAGTATCTTCTTTCGATGTCTCGCTGCAAAGGGCAAATGCCGTAGAGAGTGCCGTGAATGTCGTATTGAGATGTGACGCGAGAGTATCAAATGAATTGAGGAGCTCCTGCCGCTTCTTCGCAGCTCTGGAAGTGGCCTTGAATGCTTTAGTGCGAGAGTCAGAAAATTCGATTAGGGCACATACTACATCACCACCGGGCATCCGTGCCAACTGCATGACAGGGCTATGCAATGATGAGCAAAGGCCCCGATCCCCAACCATCAAGCTTACAAAGGAACCTGACTCTTCAAGAACAGGACGTGACCAACTAAGCTAGTGCACAACCTGGCGGCCATAGAGTCTGCCACAAAGTCTGTCTCGAGTGTGACGGATGGAATCTTCATAGAAGCTGCAAGCATTGGGGCAGGCTGTCTGTTGGAATGGGCATCTTCTATCTCTGCAGAACATATGGGCTTTCCTAGCTTGCAACCAGAGGGTACGAGGATACGCATGATCGGAGTTGTAGATGAAGGTTGACGAGGTCGACAGCTGTCAGCATGTGACATTTTCGCGATCGCGTTGTCATCACGTGCCATCTGCACCATTTTCACCAAGACGAGAAATAAGCACTAATGGCAAGGAGTCACTGTTGGCCCGAGTAACGCCCTGATGGCTCAGTTGGTTAGAGCGCAGGTCTCATACTTTGTATGACCGGTCTTTGTTACCGGGCAATCCTGAGGTCGCAAGTTCGAACCTTGCTCAGGGCATTATGGTGCCACTTTTTTCCGCTCCGTGGGTTCAGGTTGGGCACGAACCAATATTGCCACCCACTCTGACGGATCCAAGTCGCTGATATCACTTCCACAGCAGACGATGACCAAACTGGCATAGCAGATGTCTTTTTTTGGCCACTCCCAGGTACAAACAGAGTGCCGAACTCTGCTGGGTGGCGCCGCTGGTTCTGCTGACCGGCAGAAACCTTGATACCAAGTCAGTCCCATGTTACGTTAACAATTTCAAGCTTTCTTCAAGCCTACGCGGGAGCTCTCATTGGTGGAGGGACTCGCGTACGAACTTAACTGATGGACTATACCAAACAAGGATCGTAACACGATGGTTTATTTTTGACAATTCAATGTGCTGATTGGCGCCGCTGGCTGGCCAGCTTACGAAGAAACATGAGTTGATGCTGCGCGTCAATTCGCTGTGTAAGTTTTCAATCTACTCCTCCCTTTTGCACGTAGTAGAACCCAGTGTGTTGTTGAATGACCTCGCTGAGCCGAAAAAGAGCGGTAGATGACGCCAGGTTAGTTTCGTTTCAATTCAAGCACTCATTGAATTCGGGCGCTTCAAACCATCTTGCAGGCAGATAAAGGATTGAAAATAACCATTCCTCCTTACTACGAACCATCTCGTAGGTTGTCGTCACACCAGTTCCTTTCGCTGATCTTCCTCCGGTCATAATTTTATCTCAAACGCCGGCACAGTGCTAACCTGATACATGTACTATACATTATGGGATAATACAGGGTTTCAGGTCACCCCTGCAGAATGAGGTGGGAGGGTCGTCATTCTTGCTACCGACCCGTTTTGACGTTGTGTCCTCCCTACTCGATGGAATGGAACGAACTTTCGAAATCCACGCTCACGCTTTCTTCGTACCGGGACGTATCCAAGCGCCCCACAACGCAAAGTTGCATTTCATTCCACGCTGATTTCGGTATCAAGCCTCCATCTCCGAGCCGCACTTGTTGATTATGTGTTTCGTATGATCTCGATCTTATCATTTGGAGATCCAACACGATTGAAAACTGATGCGCATATTATCTTCCATTAGTGACATAGGTATAAAATATTGCCCGATGTCCAGCACGGCACACATCCCTCTAACTTCGAAGGCGTGCTTCACAAAAACCTAGCAACGCGTCTGACAGTTTCAATCACTCTTCTCACAGAAGTAGTAGTCCTGTTGTAAATCCAGATTGATTGCGCTATTGCATCGAGTCATGTAACTTACCAAGACGGTGGTGTAGCAGCAAGATGCTATGTAGCCACTTGCGCAATTATCTGAGTAGCTTTCGCACTTCTCACAATCGACTCCCCCACTTTGTTCCGAATCCTTTCAGGACCCAGTAAGCGGATGGTTTCGTGCACCATTAATCTTACTCACCTCTGCGCAGCAGCGAGCTACGCCGTTCCCACTGCAATCAGTGGATTCAGTCGACACGGGTGATGCCATAACACTGGCTTGTGAAAGGAGGAGGAAGATTGCAGAGACTGTAGAAATGCGAACGAACATGTCGCTGGATATCGGAGGTTCAAGTGAGTGCCGTTTGGGCAGATATATCCAAGGCTTTATATATCCCAGTCAGAGACTTATAGCATCGACGCGTCTATTCCCCAGTGACTAACCCTTTCATAGTAGGCGGCTTAAACTGGCATATTAGCCAAGGACAAAAAATTACTGAACTTCAGTGAGGATAGTGAACTCTGCTCAGTAGCTGAAAGCTTGATTGACGTGATAACACAGCGTCTATTACGGAGGAATGTTGACGAGTTTGTCTTGATTTAATTTGACCTGCCATAGTACCGGTATACTTAACCTCGGCGAGCGAGACTGGGTTTTTGAGTAATGCCGGTGTGTCGTCATCTTGATATTGCGCGTCAATTCACTGGCAGTAAGTGATATCCGACCCAGTCATACTCTTGTTGATGAAACGCAGGGTCTCAGGCTGGACTGAATGTGTCACAGTTAATGCCAGTGTACATATCCCGTTCTAAAACCATTGAATTCTGCCGCTTCGATGACGGTGTCAGAGAAAAATTGAAAGCAGTTCACCAGTTATCGTCGGCAACAGCCCGTTCTTTTCGATATCTTCTCCCACTCACGAATCCTGCTCATACATTACTAATCGTACTATAGGGCAACGTACAGCAAATTATCTCCGCCACACGAGGTGAGAGTGTTACATTCTTCTATCGATATAGTTCGCTTTAGCATTGAGGGCTGGTTTGCATTATAGTGTCGACAGGTTTTCCGGAAATTGGCAGTGAAGCCCATTTTTAGGACCGAGACTCGTTGTGTTCTGCATAGTCGATGAAATGTAACGACACCTCGCGGTTCGCATCCATTTATATCACAGATAATTCACGTATCATGCCTTCCATCTCCGCAAGTTGCACTTACTACTGAGTCTCCTTAACGTCGGGTGGTTATCGTCGTCGATCTTCAACCTCAGCGGCACTGTAACATTGTTTAAGATGCGTGCGTCGCCGCCGACTGTCACCCTGCTACCCATGCACAATCTTCGGAATTGGGCAAGCTAATAATTATGTACATATCGCGATAAGCAAAAGGCGAGTGACTCAGGGCGCCTATAGTTGCCTGCGCCGCTGCCATCGATATATTTCCGATAAATCGAAGAGGAATGAGGCAGGGGCGTTCCAACTGTTCCATTCTTGCTGCTGATGCTTCGGTCTAGCATTCTAGTAATACACTTACGTAGCAAATGGTGTCTATTCCAGGGCTAAAGAGGGTTCGAACTTTTCGAGTGATGGTTATGGGAACCGAGAAAGCTCGAAGTTATCAGGTATCGAGCAACAGATCAAGTTGCTGGAATGTAATATACCTTGATAAGTCTCTTCTCCGCCGCGTATCTCCTAGCACCCTCTAGAGTCATACAACTTGAACGAAGTTTCATTCCTGTCATATCATGCAGGTAGCCCCCAGGCTACCGGCGTACTCTGAATCTTGGCATTTGGAATAAGATGATTCAACTCGTAAGACTTCACAACGGTGTCCTCGCGTTTATATTGTTTAGAGATCGTGATAACTGTACTCTATGATGTGATTATTACACATGACATTAGTGGGGTGCTTATAAACATGATGCCTCGGCCGTCCAGTAGCGTTCCGCCTGTTATTTTCACTCATGTTTGTTGCAGAAGTAATAGTCCTTGTCGCAAATTCAGATTGATTGCGCTGTTGAACCGAGACATGGCACCTACCGTGGCGGTGGTGTAGCAGCAAGAAGCTACGTAGCTACTTGCACAACTCCCTGAGTAGTCTGTGCATTTCTCACAATTGACTCCTCCACTTGCTGATGGATCCTTTTAGAAGCTAGTAAGTGTCATTTCGCGATGCATAACCTTTCTCACCTCTTCGCAGCAGCGAGCTGTGCCGCCTTCCTTGCAACTGCAACCAGTAGAATCGGACACGGCCATAACACTAGCTCGTGAAATGAGAAATAAGATAACAGGAACCGCAGAAAGGCGAAAGAACATGGCGCTGGGTATGGAGGTCTCAATGAGCGCCGTTTGCGCAGACTGAGGCTTTAACTGCTCGGTTCGGTCATTGCATTGATGCATCTAACCCACAGCGGAACTGAACCTTCGGGCAGCTTATTATGGTATGGGGTCCGCCGAAATTATTGTTAAGGCCTGATGTAACTTCAGGGAAATGATCTCACTAGGCGCTCGTCGAGGGTGGCATGTCATGCTTCCATGTGAGAAAGTTTATCATTGTGGCATCCGAAATCGGGTCGTTCTGCCAAAGAATTAAATGATGCCCGCAAGTTGCCGTTGTTACTTCAATACTCATATATATACAATGCCTGGTCACCGGTGTCTTCAACCTCCGGCCTTGTAGACATTAATTCGAATTACACTATAGTAGCTGAACATTCATACCTGTTGTATACGGCAAGTTATTTTGTTCGCACCATTCATTTTGGGCTTCGAGAAGTCTGGTGCCGCCTCGTTGACCAGGGATAGGAATTATCAAAAAGGAATCAACGCAACATTGCGGTAGAACGCTAGTCCTCGGTATGCAGTATTTATCTGCAATGATTAGCGGAACGTGGGACTATATTTGTATGGTCAAACCGCGACGCACCATGTTAATGTTCAGGATGCATTCCATTATAAGTAATCCAACAAGCCGAGGGGCCTGATAAGCAGTTCCCACTCGCCTTTAATTGGAACATCCACTCCTGCGATCTTACGGTAGAGAGCTTGAGTATGAGCCGAGCATAAACATGACAGTGTCCAGGACCTGGAGTATACCACTCCGAAACCTTGCCCAATCGTCGATGACAGTCTTGCGAGCAATCAATGGTCATGTCAGGAGTCCTGGCGTAGTGACAGCATGGCGACTAACATCAACATCATTAATTCCCAATCATCTGTGGAGTGCCACAAGTGCAGCTTAAGCCCTAAGCAATATCCTTCAAGTTGCGCACTATCGCCAGAAAAAAAAAAGAAGTGGAATAGTAGTGCGCAGCTGAGCGGTGATTGCATCGGCGAGTTTCTGTCGAGGATTATTGGTATGTAAGGTCGGTGAGGAAATCGATCCCCGAGGGCAATAACCGGTGAAGCTATTCGTCGCCTATGGATGCGAAAAAATGGGGTGAATAGCACAAACTGGTTAGCACTTAGAAAAAACCCATGAGAGACATGATATTAGAATCTGCCTATGCCGGCACATATACGTATGCAACATTTGGCACGGATAGCGAAAAAGAACGTGCATGATATGACGCACCGGGTAAGTACAATTCTCGTGCCATCATGAACTTTTCTCCATTCGTGACCCTGCTCTCGGGATGGTATTGCGGGCCGCAAAACAGACGGCGAGTAAATTTAGACGGTGTGGGATACAGCTTTGTATTGGAACATCCCGACGACTCGGTGGTAGTACTCTACCTAAGTAAGCCTACCGCATGAAGGGCATCATGAATCGCATCCTGCACGCCAACGTGGGTGTGCA